AGATATTGTTGTTGGATAAACCCTTTAATTATAATATAGTGTCCTTCCTCATCTCTTATTAGTCTTTGGTTTAAAATCTAATTTGTCTGATATAAGGATTGCCACTCCAGCTTTCTTTTGATGTCCATTAGCATGATAAATGATTTTCCACCCCCTCATTTTCAATCTAGAGGTGTCTTTAGGTCTAAAATGAGTCTTTTGCAGACAGCATATCAATGGGTCTTGCTTTTTTATCCAATCTGATACCACATGTCTTTTGATTGGGGCATTTAGCCCATTTACATTCAGAGTAATTATTGAAAGATATGAATTTAGTGATTACCTGTACAGTCACTGTTTCCGCATATTGTCTCTGTTCCTTTTTGGTTTATGTTACTTTTGGGTTCTCTCTTTGCTTAAAGGATCTCCTTTAATACTTCTTGTAGGGCTGGTTTAATGATCACATATTCTTTTAGTTTCTGTTTGTCCTGGAAGTTGTTTTTTGTTTTTTTTTTTTAATCTGTCCATTCTGAATGACATGTTAGCTGGATAAAGTATTCTTGGCTGCCTATTTTTCTTATTTAGCACCCTGAATATATCATGCCTGTACTTTCCAGCCTGCCAGGTCTCTGTGGATAGGTCTGCTGCCAGTCTAATGTTTCTACCCTTGTAGGTTACAGACCTCTTGTCCCAAGCTGCTTTCCCAGGATTTTCTCTTTGTCTCTGAGATTTTCAAGTTTCACTATTATATGTCGGGGTGTTGACCTATTTTTATTGATTTTGAGGGGGTTTCTCTGTGCCTCCTGGACTTGAATGCCTGTTTCCTTCCCCAGATTAGGGAAGTTCTCCACTATAATTTGCTCCAATATACCTTCTGCCCCCACTTTCCTCTTCTTCTGGGATCCCAATTATTCTATCATTTTGCTTTATGGTATCACTTATCTCTCGAATTCTCCCCTCATGATCCAATAGTTGTTTATCTTTCTTTTTCTCCACTTCTTTTTTCTCCATTATTTGGTTTTCTATATCATTAATTCCCTCTTCTGCCTCATTTATCCTAGCACTTAGAGCCTCCATTTTTATTGCACCTCATTAATAGCCTTTTTGATTTCGACTTGGTTAGTTTTTAGTTCTTTTATTTCTTCAGAAAGGGGATTCTCTGGTGTTTTTTATGCTTTTTCCAAGCTCATCTAATATCTTTATAATCATTATTCTGAACTTTAGTTCTGACATCTTACTTATGTCCATACTGATTAGGTCCCTGGCAGTCAATACTGCCTCTTGTTCTCTTTTTTGAGGTGAGTTTTTCCATCTTGTCATTCTTCCAGAAAGTAGTAGCTTTTCTATTTGTAGAGTTGCAGCTATTGTTTTCTTAGATCTCTGGTTGAGTTCGCAGGTGTTCAGAATGAGTTAAGAGCTATCCAGCTGAATTCCTAGGTCTAGACGAAACTAAGGTCTCCTAGTTCTCCACCATTTTGGACTCAGACCTCCATGTCACACCTTTCAAAAAACATTTTCTCACATCTCACTTTGATCCTTATTTGTTGAACTGAGAAATCTCAACTCACTGAGATATAAACAAAGAATACTTTTATGTTTTTCCCCTGTAACCTTAGTTGAATACTAAGTTGAATATGAACCTGCTGAGTATGCTCAGTGAAATTCTACAATTTTTCAGTTATATTCAATTATCAAAGGTTTTAAAACCCCATCTGTAGATAACCTGCCTATTAAGCACAAGTGAGAATTACATTACTTTTAGCAGATGCCTGTGGTGGAGAAGGGCATGGCTTGTTCTCACTGGGTCCCCTCTTCTTTCCCTGTACTCCTCTTCTCACTCTCCTATATTCACAAGCTTCTATCTTTTGCCATATGTAGCAGCTGTGGGAACAGAGCAATATTCAACTTACAAGAGTTCACCAGATATTAGTGATGGGTCTGCTACAGTCATCAGCCTGTCCTTCTCCAGTGATGCTGACTGCCAAGAGATTCAAGTGCTGCCAAGCAGAAATATAACCCTAATCTTTCTCTGACTCAATCTGACGTCAGTGGTCTCTACTGATCTCTGCAGTACATGGTGATTTCTACACAGGTAGCATATGTGGTTCTCTAAGCAGTGTTCAGGTTCACCCTGGCTCCCTCTGCCCCAGTAGTATCTGTCCCAACTCCACCACTGTTTTGCATATTCTCATCTAATCAAGTGCCCCCATAGAAAGCCCCTATGACTCCAACATCTTCACCAACATCCACACTTTTTCCTTCACATAAATCACGAGACTCACTGGGGTTCCACTTTACCTGATTACTGAGAACTCACATCCCATCTCCTTCCAAGGCATACTACCCATGAGCTACTCCAGCAAGCCTATTGTGTTATGAAATCTCTAAAGCAAATGTATACACCAGCTTCTATATCCAATATTCCAGATCCACACATCCAGTCTCCCCTGGGTTAAAATGGCAAACAAGGAAAAGGAAGTACAATCTGTACCCATCATGCTATCCCGCAAACTCGCTGGACACATTCCAAAGGCATCAAAATCAGTCAGCACAGCAAAGATCCAGCCAGAGAATAAGAAGCCAGTCTCTCATTCTTGCAGCCACACTCACAGACTTTACAAGAAATTCAAACCCCACCTCAAACTTTTGTGGGAACAAGTTGAGGGGATGGCTACCTTCATTAACTGGGTACTCTCTAAAAGGCCTTCACCCATGCTCTAGCCCATCTCTTTATAAAGGAGAAGGGGAAATGCAGTGGTTGATGGTTAGAGTACAGTTTTGCCTGAATGTCAGTTTGTAGTAATTCATGCAGTGAAGAGGCATAACAGGTACATGTTCAAACTAAATAACAAACAAAAAAAAAACACAACTAGAAATTTAGGCTCTTCTGATTATAGAGCAGGGCTCTGGTCAATAATCCTAGCTGAACTAAAAAAGATACTTTCCATATCATGCTATACTTAGCATGTGAATTACATAATACAGATGTTATTAACTGCATTTTACACGAGACAAACAACTGAATTGTGATGACGTTACAAGACTAAAACACAAAAACCACAAATAGGGATAAATCTTGTCAGTGCATCCACAAAACAAGGGTTCAATCTACCTGGACAGTGAGGAAAACCCTCTGGGTTTTGGATCTCACAGAGATACTGATCAAATGAGATAAGGGATGATTGTTTTTATAGTGAAAACAGAGCAAGACAAAAATAAAAAAAGAATTCTAGTTATCATATACCCAGCATATGTTTAGACCAAATGTTAAACTATATCTTTTTACATCACTACCTATATGTCCTGGGTGGAGAAAGAAGCAGAGTTGGGTATGAAAATAACTTTAAGCAGCACCTGGCTGGCTCAGTCGGAAGAGCATGCAACTCTTGATCTCAGTGTTGTGAGTCTGAGCCCAACGTTGGGTATAGAGATTACTTAAAAATAAAAATCTTATAAAAAAAATAACTTTTAAGCTCTCATTTTATTTCTCGGCATAGCCTTTGAGCATCTCAGAACAGTACAAAAAATAAAGAACACAGCTCTACTACTCTCCCTTTGTCAAAATGTTCTCCATTTTTGTTATCTACAACTTGCATAAAAAAAATCTATTATTACTGAATTTTCACCAAGAAAGCTTTGGTAGATGGATGAGAGAGCCAGAAATTCAGACAGGTACAAGGGTCTCTGCTCATCACAGAAACATGATTGCAATTGGTCAAATTCACTTCTGTAAAGAAGTACATATTTTATAAACAAATTTTATTTCTTCAGTCAACTTTTTGTTATTTTTAATTACAAAAATCAAAGATTCTCTGATCTAACTGATCTGTATGGCTAACTTAGAAATTATCTAGGCCCATATGCTCATTTTTTTATAGAAGAAACTATAATCTAAAATTAAGGTCAGTAGTGTTTTCTACCACAACATGCTGATTCATTAAACTCCAAGCTTATGATTTTGTTTAAACTTATTTTCTTAAAATGTAAAAAGTTTCACATGGTGATAGTAACAATATTAATTGTGACAACCAAACTATAAATTTGGAGGATTTCAATTACAGTTCATTCTGAAATCCACATCTGATCAATCATATTTTTAGGCTATTCGAAAACCTATTTTGGCTGTTTCCAATTTTAGAGGAGACACAGCTGCTGTTTCAACACACAACTTTTCTTTGACCCTTCATATATTTCATAGGTTAAATACTGAATGCCAGGGTTTTCAGTCCTGTTCACTGTAGAAACACAAGCTGTGTAATATTTCTCTGAAGATGTATCACTCTGGTTTTTCTCAAAATAATTTTGTTCAGTATAAAGTAATATAGTATATAGTTTCTATTTTCTAAAAGACCAGGCTTTTTAGTGTATTTTCAGAGACAGATTGCACTATGTATCTAATATCCTATTACAAACACAAGGTTATCTAAAATTAGAAAATACACCTTACAATGACATCCCAATCCCACCCAGGACTGTTTACGGTTAGCTATCAATCTCACTTTTCCCTGACCACAGTGAATTAGAAGAGTGATAAGTATCTCAGCAGAAAGGGGGCAATGTCCAATTAAAGACATTAAACATGAAACCAAAGAATGTCAAAATCTCACTAGTGCCACCTACAGTACTGGACAGTGCAGATAGGAGAGATTTTTAAAATAATTTTGTGTATCATGGGGCTGTGTGTGCATATTCATCTTATGATTTCTTGCCCAGGACTATGTACCAAATCTTGAATATTACATAATTAGATAATGCAAAAAACAAAGAGTATTCAAAAAATCAAAACCAAAAAAACCTGAAGGGTAGAACAGTGGTTCCAAGGAGTGGGGAAAATAGATGTTGGTCAAAGGGTACAAACTTTCAGTTATAAGATGAGTAAGTTGTAGGGATCTAATGTACAGCATGGTGACTACAGTTAATAATACAGTATTGCATACCAATGTTAAATGATATGGTCAGGTATAATAAAAATGGGAGAATTTGGCTTTAAATGGATTACAAAGTCTCAAAGCAAACCTTACCTTACATTCTACCACACTCTGATCTGATTCACAAGTTTCATAGATTTCATCTACTGCTCGGCGAAGATTGTCAAAAAGAAATGCCCAGTATCTAGCTCTTAGATCAATTTTCCGAGGATGCCTTGTTTTAGTGGGACTTTTATCAAAGTGTTTATCTCCAGTTGTAGATGATGTTATTTTACAGTCTACTGCAGCATTCTGGTGAAATAAAACAAAACATTAAAAAAAATATTTCTTAAAAGCCTCCAGGGATTGGATTTTTTTATAAAGCACATTTTTCAAAATAAATACTTAAAAACGAAACATTCTTCTTTTTATCCTATATTACACTGAATTTATCAAAACAAAGCTTCTCATCTTAAAAAAGCATCAGGTTTGTAAGGTCATTTTTTATTTCAGACATGTCTTACTGAAGATTAGCATGGCTTCAACAGTAAATAGACCTTTAAGTCAAAAAGGACCACTAAAGGACCCATTCTTTCCTCAGTTGCCCAGGGAAACTTTGAAAATAAAGATTACATTCTATAGTTTTACAGACTGTACCACAGAATCATTCCACCAAAAAGCATGTAGTTTACATAAAGACTGAAATTCAAAATGCAAACCTGAAGCTTCTCACTAGAAGTACGGAAGAGTTGCTTATCTCTCTGTGGCTACTTAAACTGAAAAATAAATAAATACTAAACCTCTACTACAGTTAGAGCAACAAACAATACCAGGTTTCTTTGGGTTGTTTTGTATGTGTGTGTATCATTCCTGTTTGCTTGCTTTTCTTTTTCATAGAAGAGCCCCAGAGTGGAGAGTATCTGAAATAGAGGCTAATACCCTCCTGCTTTGTTTTAGGCTTTGGCCTTCAATATAAGTGATTCCTAAACTTCATAAACCTTTTATAGCCAATCACTGATTTATATAGAATCTTTACCAGCAAAAAGGAAGCAGACAAAACACATGTACACACACAGATACTATACACGCTTGAGAGGCTGAGATGGAGTTACTTGTCCTCCCTCTACAGTGCCCCATCCAGACTAGGGTTGCCAGATTTCACAAATGAAAATTAGCAAATATTTTATGGGTTAGCCATGGTCCAAGCCCTAATTCTCAATACTCAAGCAATAAAATTTAAAATAATGTCAACAATCCATAAAACCTTTGCCTCAAATGCTCTCGAAGTTCTTTCCAGCCTTAGTGTAAATAATTTTATTATGGCAAATATCCCCTCCTTGGATTAAACCAAATTCAAAATCCCATTCAACTAGCATCTATCCTGAAGTAAAGCTTAATTCTGTCCACTCTCCTGATAACTGTGACAACAATTAGCAATTTATACAGGATTACAGATCATAAATCAACTTCACATAGTCTTCTAACCACCTTCACACAATCTTTAAAGTATGTCTTATTAGCTCCACTTTACAGTTTAGGAAACAGGCTCCGAGGCTAATAACTCATTTGTCAAAGATCATCGAGCCACAAGAGAACACCTTCCCATTACAGCTCTACAATAACACTGCCAGCTTACCATTATACTGCCTCAGGCCTGTGCCGCCAGTGCTTGACCAGATATTCCAGACTACCTCATTACTCTTCCTAGACACCAACCAAAGTTAAAATTAACTTGAGAAGTTTCCCAAACTATACCTCCTTCATGAAGTTTTTCTACATCAATCAGCAAAGAGCTAGTAAATTCCTGTGAATTTAGACTCTGGTCTTACGGAATTCTCAAAGGACTTTCACTCATTTTCACCCCTTTATGTATGTACCTTATCATGCATCAAATATTTTACCATCCTTTCTTACAATGTAAAATAGGCACCACTGCTTCCAGGTTAAAATTTTTCTATTCTTTGTGATTGCTCTATGTGAAGCTTTTACAAAGAAAGATGCCAGTAAGACAAAAACTACAGTTACATAATTCCATCTGAAAGGCAATGTGCTACACAAATTTGATATTTAACTTTGCCAAAATGGCAAATACTTGCATGCATATTTATATTTTATGAAGGAATTTTGAATACATTATCTCATTTAATCATTACAACAAACTAAAGACAGGACAAATATTATTATTCCCATTTGTAGATGATAAAACTGAGGTTCAGAAAGATTGAATTTCTTAGCAAGTCAAAAGGTTGAGTGATGGAACTCGGACCAGAACCTAGTCTTTCAACTTCTGCTCCCATGTTCATAAAGCATTTCACATAGCACCAAGCACACAATTAATACCCAAATAATGTTAGGTATGATTATAGTGGGAAAGATAAAGAGGAGAAGAAATATGCTCATAGAAAAAAAAGTGAATAAACTAACGGCAAAACTGCCAAATTTGTGAAAGAACAGGCAAATAAAATTGTAGAGGTTAAGTCAGTATAGAGTTCCAAAGTATAGGGCTCTTACCACTGATAAAAATAATAGCAGTGATAATAGTAATTGCAGAAGCATCTAACATTCATGGCACACTTGCCAGGTGCCAGGCACTGTGCTAAGTGCTTTCCATACAGTTATACTTCATTTAATCTTTGAAGCAATTTTGTAACGTAGGTAACATTATTATCTCCATTTTACAGAAGAGAAAACTGAAGTTTAGCTAAATTAAGTAATGAACCCAAGGTCTCACACTAAGTGATAAAGCCAAGATTAAAAATCAAGTAACTATCCCATTACTACAGCTTACTACTACTTCCAAGATACTCAAGAAGACAAAGCAATCTAAATTTGTGGGAAAAGTTAGACACAACTGAATTCCATGATGTTATGTTTTTTTCAATGACTTTTCAGAGAAAGAGAAAAAGTAAAGGGAAAGAGGAAGGAAGAAATTGAGATTTCTGACTCATCTCTGTCAGAAGGACTCACTGACTTCCCTTGAGAATATAACAATGCTTATGAACCTATTTGCAGAAAAATGCATGGGCACACAAAATTGAACACATATTTTCTTGATGTACCAACAGTGACACATCATAATCATCCAAGTTCAGAGTTTACTTTACAGTTTACTATAGGTGTTGTTCATTTTATGGGTTTGGACAAATGTATAATGACACGTATCCATCATCATGGTATTATACATAGTATTGTCATTGTACTAAGAATCTTCCGTGCTCTGCCCATTCTCTCCTCCCTATCCCTACCCCCGAACATCTGGCAACCACTGACCTTTTTACTGTCTCCATAGTTTTGCCTTTCCAGAATGCCGTATAGTTGGAAACAGTATGTAGCCTTTTGAGGTTGGCTTTTTTCACTTAGTATAATGCATTTAAGGTTCCTCCATGTCTTTTTATAGCTTGATAGCTCTTTTATTTTTTTAAAGATTTTATTTATTTATTTGACAGATAGAGACATAGCAAGAGAGGGAACACAAGCAGGAGGAGTGGGAGAGGGAGAAGCAGTCCATTGTCTGGATGTACTAGTTTATGTATCCATTCACCTACTGAAGGACATCTTGGTTGCTTCCAAGTTTTGACAATTGTGAATAAAGCTGCCATAAATATCCATGTGCAGGTTTTTGTGAGGATATGTTTTCAACTCATACCAAGGAGCATGACTGCTGGATTATATGTTAAGAGTAGGTTTAGTTTTATATGACTCTATAAACTGGCAATTTATAAACTGCCAAGTGGCTGTACCATTGTGCATTCCCACCAGCAATGAATGAGAGTTCCTGTAGCTTCACATCCTTACCACCATTTGGTGTTGTCAAAATTCCCAATTTTGGCCATTCTAATGGATATGTAGTAATATCTCATTGTTGCTTTAATTTGCATTTCTCTGATGCCATGTGATATACAGCATCTTTTCATATGCTTATTTGCCATCTGTATATCCTCTCTGGTAAGGTGTCTGTTAAGAACTTTGGCCTGTTTTTTAATCAGGTTGCTTGTTCTCTTACTGTTGAGGTTTTTTTATTATTATTTTAATTCTAGTACAGTTAACATACAGTGTTGAATCACTATATAGTACACCTAAAACTAATATAACACTGTAACTTATTGTTGAATTTTAAGAGTTCTTTGTATATTTTGGGTAACAGTCCCTTATCAGGTATGTGTTTTGCAAGTATTTTCTCCTAGTCTGTGGCCTGTCTTCTCATTCTTTTGACATTGTCTTTTGCAGAGCAGTTTTTAATTTTAATGAAATCTAGCTTACCAATGATTTCTTCACGGATCACAATATCACGGTATTATATCTAAAAAGTCATCACCATACCCAAGGTCATTTAGGTTTTCTATGTTATCATCAGAAATGTCATACTTTTTGCTTTCACATTTACATCTATGATCCCTCTTTGAGTTTAATTTTGTGAAGGGTTTATACCCTTCACAAGGTGTCTGTCTAAATTCTTTTTTTGTGTGTATGTATGGATGTCCAATTGTTCCAGCACAATTTGTTGAAAAAAATTTCCTTTGCTCCATTGTATCGCCTTTGCTCCTCTGTCAAAGAGTAGCTGATTACTTATGTGGGTCTATTTCTAGGCTTTCTATTCTCTTCCATCATCTATTTATTGTTTTGCCAATGCCACACTGCCTTCATTACTATAGCTTTACAATAAGTCTAAAAGTTGGCTAGTGTCAGTCCTCCAACTTTGTTCTTCTTCAATATTTCATTGGCTATTCTGGGTCTTTTGCCTCTCCATACAGTTTAGAATCAGTTTGTCAATATCTATACAATAATTAGTCAGAATCATATTGAACCTACACATCAAGCTGGGAAGAAAGGACATCTTGACAATATTCACTTTTCCTACATGAACATGGAATACCTTTCCATTTACTTAGTTCTTTGATTTCTTTCATCAGAGTTTTATAGTTTTTCTCATATAGATCTTTGCACATACATTGTTAGATTCATACCTAGGTATTTAATTTGAGGGAGTGGTAATGTAAATGGTATTGTGTTTCTAATTTTAAGTTCCCCTTGTTCACCACTGGTATATAGGAAAGCCACTGACTTCTGTGTATTAATCTTGTACCCTGCAACCTGCTATAACAGATTATTAGTTCCAGGTTTTTGTTGTTGTTGTTCTTTCAGATTTCTTATATAATCATATCATCTGTGGACAAAGACAGTTTTATTTCTTCCTCCCAATCTGTATACCTATTCCTCCATTTTCTTGTCTTTGCATTAGCTAGAACTTCCATTACAATGTTGAAAAACAGTGGTGATAGGGGCATCTTTGCCTTATAACTGATCTTGGGGGAAAGCTTCCAGTTTCTCACCATTAAGTATCACATTAGTTGTAGGGGTTTTTGTAGATTTTTTTAATCAAGTTGAGGAAGTTTCCCTCTATTTCTAGTTTATTGATAATTTTTATCATAAATGGGTGTCAGGTTTTGTCAAATGCTTTTACTGCACCTTTTGAAGTGATAATGTCATTTTTCTTTTAGTCTGTTGATGAACTAAAGACCACATATGAAAACAAAAATTCAAAACTATCTAGAAAGATATCTTTATAATCTTGAGATAGGAGAGGCTTTCCTAGATAAAAAAAAAAAGCACAACTCATGGATAAGTTATGTAAAATTAAATTTATAAACGTGGTCATGGTATACCATTCTTTTCAAATATTGTGGGATACAATTTGCTAATATTCCTCTATTTGGAAATCATGGCTGCTTTTAAAGCCTTATATTTTTATCATACATACTTACATTCATATTTTTCTAACAAAAACTTCTTCCTAAACAAGACAAGGATTTTATCACTCTAACTCCCTTCCAAACTCCCTACAATCCAGCCTTCATGTTAATATTGTCTAAAACTATAGTTCCACTTCTCTAAATCTAATCGTGTGAGTTTTTTTTCAAACCATAAGTAATGAGATTTACAAACACATTTTACAGATACCTTTTTAAATTTAAATTCAATTAGCAAACATATAGTACATCATTAGTTTCAGATGTAGTGTTCAGTAATTCATCAGTTGCGTATAACACCCAGTGCTCATCATATCACATGCTACAGATACCTTTTTAACAAGTTCCTTCTTCCATGTTACTTTTTCTTCTTGCTGAAGTTCATCTTTAGTAGTTCCTTCATTAAGGGTCAGTGGGTGGCAAACACTTAGTTTTTGTTTAAAATAACTAAAAATAGCTTTATTTCATTCTTGCACTTGGCTGGGCATAAAATTATGAGTTAAAAGTAATTTTGTCTGAGCGCCTGAGTGGCTCAGTCAGTTAAGCGTCTGCCTTCAGCTCAGGTCATGATCTCAAGGTCCTGGGATTGAGCCCCGCATCGGGCTCCCTGCTCAGCGGGGAGTCTGCTTCTCCCTCTCCCTCTGTGCTCTCTCTCTTAAATAAATAAAATTAAGAAAGCGTTTTTTTAAAAAAAGTAATTTTGTCTTATAACTTCGAATATATTCGAGTATACGAGTAAATTCGAGTAAATTCTCTCACTTGTAGAATATGTTATCTATATTTTATAACATCATTTTCCTCATGTGCTTTGATATTTTACTTTGAATTTGAATTTCTTGTATTTTAGGTCTTCACTTTGCTCACCCTCACTCCATGTGTCCTACTGTTATGGTGACCATCATCTAGCCCACTATGGTCCCACTTCCGCAGGTCTTTTATTGGAGACTTAAAACTCTCACCCATCAAGAATACTAGCAGATCCAGTCATAAACCATCGGCCACTTCCTTTTACTGCTTCAGACATCAATTCACAGGGCATAACCCCAGGTAGACTGTAGCTTTTTTTGCTCCTAGTACAAAACCCTGCATAAGCCCAAAATTTTATACCATGTGCCTGGATTTGTTTCCCCATGATAATCAGGGCATTTTAGCCTCCTTTATCCCATAAGACCTGTCCATTAAGTTTGTGTCCCTAATTCCACTTACCTGTCAGTGTGTTTATTTCTGATCTACAGAGATGGTTATCTTATTTTTGAAAATTTTTTATCTTTTTAATTAAAAAAAATTTTTTTTTATCATTGATGCCATTGTAGGTGAGAAGTCTGGATTATCTTATGAAGTCACAATGACATTTTGATTAGCAATTAATAATGTCTTCCTTATGTGAAGTTTTGGGTTTGTATAAGCATATTGGTATATTTAATAACATCAAACCAAAATAATATATATGAAAAGCTCAGGGAAAGTAACTATGAATTAAAAAGCTAAAAACCACTTTTAAAATAGGCTTGTGTTCTCTAAAATTTTAATAAAGCAATTTGAAAATCTTTAGAGACAATACTTTTACTATTCTACAACCTAAAAACATACTATACCAAGAAAGAAAATCATAAAAAAATTCACAAATATGGGATGTGTAGCAGAAGGGTTAAGAGCATAAACTAGAAATTGATGACCTGGGTTCAAATCTTCACTGTGTCACTCACTAGCAAGTTATATAACCTCTCCCTACCTCTGTTTCCTCATTTTTAGATGAAGATGATAATAATGCCTACACTGAAGGGACTATTACAAGAAGCAAATAAATTAGTATTTGTAAAGTAGTTAGTACTAGCTAGGCACACAGTACTATATACACATTTGTTAACTAAAGAATGCTACACTGAATTTTTACATGAAGACAAAACTATACAATATTCAAATCCTGAAAAATTACATTTTCTCACTGAAATTAAAAGTCAATAAGCAGAAAGTTGTATATGCTGTACCTGTTTAGTATTTTTATGAGTTCCTTGAATTGTCCTCTTTGATTTTCCACCAGTTTGACATTTGGATTTCCCTTCAAGGCAAGGACAGACATATATAAAGGTCAACAAATGGGTAGTACAAAATGGAACTATACAAATCATTTGGGCATACTAACACATAATCTCCTTCCAGAGATCACAGAACAGTACAATCTATACGTGGTCAATATGAACCACAGATAAAATAAAAAACAAACTTCCATGGTCTCAGGGACTGATTTTATTGAATGGCTTTCTCAGAACAGGAATAAATCAACTTCTTAAATAAGTCAGATATTCTGACAATTTAAAAACAAGGCCAAATTAGTTGACACTCCTCACCTCATAACCAGGTCTGGAAAATACTTCTTTGAATTTTATTTTATACATTTATACATTTATTTTATACATTTATACATTTTTACTATTTAAGAACTCAGCATTTTGTTTTGACAAATTTATCTGATTTATGAAATTCACAGTTTAATTTGAAAAGAGAAGTTTTCAGTTCTTTGTATTTTTGCCATCAAATACAGCTTTCTCACTTGTTCTTTTTTATAAGATACTAACTACTATTTTATAATCACTCTATTTTTGAGAGCAATTCAAAACAGGAATAAAATTTTATCTATAATGTACAACAGAATAATTTTCCTTCCAGCAAAATAATTTTGGGCCAGGACCTCTGAAGCAGTACAAATGAAGTGAGCCATAACACCTACTAACAATTTATCCACACATAAGTGGGCCTCCCTCAACTGTTCTACAAGGGAGGAAAACAGAACTCTCACTCAACTACAGAGCCCTTTATTCATCCTTTGATTACAGAGAACAATGTACCAGCAGGCTTTTTAGAATATCCAGTAGAATAACCAGCTTAGAACAAGTACCAGAGAAAACAGAAATAAAACAGAAGACAACTTTTAAAAATTGAAGGATTAGTCTCAGAAATATCTGAGTACATATTTTAGCTATAAATAAGAACGAGTTGCTGTTTTTTAAAAAAGCAAAATAAAGATTTCCCTATTATTGGCAAAGTTTTAACAACATAAAATAATCCTTATCAAAAAATTATGAAATTGACATTCTTCTTTTGTCATCATTATTTAGATAGTCAGAAAGTTCTAATTCTCTGGGCTCACAGTTCTATTATTTTGCAACAACCATGAATTAAGCTTGAAAATTGTACTGGCCAAGGGTGCCTGGGTGGCTCAGTCACTAAGCATCTGCCTTCAGCTCAGGTCATGATCCCAGGGTCCTGGAATCGAGCCCCACATCGGGCTCCCTGCTCTGCGGGAAGCCTGTTTCTCCCTCTCCCACACCCCCTGCTTGTGTTCCCTCTCTCACTGTGTCTCTGTCAAATAAATAAATAAAATCTTAAAAAAAAAAAAAAAACTGTACTGGTCAATTTTTTATGTACTTATATGCAAAATCAGGTTATATACAGATATGTGATTCATTATTGTATTTTCTTTCCTTCCTTGAATAGAAACAACTTTAATAAATCTGATTATTTTGTGTTCTGAATAATCCATGGAAAATGGGAAAATGAAATTTCATAAAATAATATGAATCATACACAGCAACCATAAGACATTTTTAGGTTTTATGTTATTACTTTTGTAGTAAATAATGTTGATATATATTTTTTACCAAAAAAGTTAATGTAACAGTAAGCTTCTTTATGAAAATTTTAGCTAGTACAGAGCTAAATTTAAAAAGATAAATTTAATTTCTCCCTCTATTTGGTAGTTTTTGATTCAAAGTAACTGCTCCTTAAAAATATCTAGGAAGGGGTGCCTGGGTGGCTCAGTCAGTTAAGTATCTGCCTTCGGCACAGGTCATGATCCCAGGGTCCTGGGATTGAGTCCTGCATCCCCGCATTGGGCTCCTTGCTCAGCAGGGAGTCAGCTTCTCCCTCACCCCTGCTTGTGCTCTCTCTTGCTATCTCTCTCGCTCTCAAGTAAATAAATAAAATCTTTTTTAAAAAAATATCGTAGGAAGACTGACAAAGAAAAGCTACTGAGGAAGTACTGGTCCAAGCAGATATTTTAATATACTATAATGCCTCTAGAATTAAAACAGTGTGGCCTTCACATATGAATTAGACGAATAGCTCAGTGAAATAGAATGTAAGTACATACGGAAATTTAATTTACAATACAGTGACATCTCAAAAAAATGGGGCAAAGGTAGACTTTACAGTAAGTGATGCCAGAACAACTTGTTATCCATATGGAAAAAGATAAAATTAGATCCATACTTCACACTACATGTAAGAATAAACTACAAATGGATCAGAGATACAAATGTAGAAAACTAAAAAAAGACAGAATAAATAAAATTTTTAAATAACAAAGTATAAAAAATAAAATATAAAAAATATGTAAACGTAAAATAAATTTAAAAGAATAAAACATGGATGAACTCCTATATAGCTTCGAACATGCCCCTGGGTAAGGGTGTCCTCAAAGAGTATGTCAAAAGGAAACAGAAGCCAGCTTAACAGGTCTCCCACTGACCTAGAACAATTAAGAAAAACCTAGAACAATTAAGCATCAAAACAGATAAATTGGAACTCATTAAATAAGAAACCATGACTCCATAAAAATTAAATATAAACTTACACATATAACTACAAGTGGAAAAAGGGAAAGCTCTCTCTTTCATTAGAATGTCAGCTAATAAATAAAGAAGGAACACTGGGGTTAGCAAATCACCATTTTGCAACTACCAGAGTAGTAACTTATTCAGGTAAGAATTATCAACAAAAGCTGAAAGTAGTGAGTATACTGTTTCAAGAGAAAGAGGACATTTACATAGTCTCAAACTACCTTATCCCAAATTACTTATTAATTACAAAGTCAATAGTTACTTCACAGTGCGGAAACTCAGGAGATACCACCTTAACCAGGTGATTAATGTGGGCATCACTAGCAACAAAAGCAAACCACTACCATGTGCCTTCTCTGACCCACTGAAAAGGGTACGGCATAATTTCTGTAGAATCCCTCCAAAAATCTATAACTGAACGTAAGCATGAAAAGATATTGCACAAATCCAAGATGAGGAATATTCTACAAACCCTGAGAAAATTCCAAAGTAAGATCCCCTTTGGCACACCCCAACCTCCTGTTTTCTACATCCCTATCCAATCTTCTAGATACCCAGGATTTAGGCAGTGCTCACAATGATCCTACCCATGAAAGTGAAAGGACTAAAAATGTATTTTTTCTAGTTCAAATAATAACTAAAGAAATATACTCTTTTCTATTTTTTTTTAAAGATTTTATTTTTTCATTTGACAGAAAGAGAGAGCACAAGCAGAGGGAGCAGCAGGCAGAAGGAGAGGGAGAAGCAGACCCCCCAGAGCAGGGAGCCCAGTGCGGGGCTCGATCCCAGGACCCTGGGATCATGACCTGAGCCGAAGGCAGACGCTTAACGACTGAGCCACCCAGGTGTCCCTATACTCTTCTTTTCTAAAACATCACATTAAATTATAACTAACTGTGGTAAATATAGTAAATTTTTTTAAAAAAACCTATTTATTTTTTATAAGAATAAAAGAAAAACTATCTCAATGTCCTCTAACTTAAAAAAGAAAACTAATTTGCCAATCATAACAAACCTACCTTCATTCCTAATGTGAAACTACAAAACTAACACTTTCATGAAACCATTTGTATATTAGCTAAGAAAAAAAGGCAATAAATGGGCGCCGGGGTGGCTCAGTGAGTTGATCATCCAACTCTTGATTTCAGCTCAGGTCATGATCTCAGGGTCATGAGATTGAGCCCTGTACAGGGCTTCACGTTCAGCATGGGGTGATTTTGTTTTTTTATCCAATCTGATACCCTGTGTCTTTTGATTGGGGCATTTAGCCCATTTACATTCAGGGTAACTATTGAAAGATATGAATTTAGTGCCATTGTATTGCCTGTAAGGTGACTGCTACTGTATATTGTCTCTGTTCCTTTTTGGTCTATGTTATTTTTAGGCTCTCTCTTTGCTTAGAGGACCCCTTTCAATATTTCTTGTAGGGCTGGTTTGGTGTTCACAAATTCTTTCAGTTTTTATTTGTCCTGGAAGCTTTTAATCTCTCCTTCTATTTCCAATGACAGCCTAGCTGGATATAGTATTCTTGGCTGCATATTTTTCTCGTTTAGTGCTCTGAATATATCACACCAGTCCTTTCTGGCCTGCCAGGTCTCTGTGGATAGGTCTGTGCCAATCTAATGTTTCTACATTGTAGGTCTCTTGTCCCGAGCTGCTTTCAGGATTTTCTCTTTGTCTCTGAGATTTGGAAATTTTACTATTAGATGTTGGGGTGTTGACCTATTTTTATTGATTTTGAGGGGTTTCTTTGTGCCTCCTGGATTTTGATGCTTGTTTCCTTCCCCTAATGAGGGAAGTTCTCTGCTATAATTTGTTCCAATATACCTTCTGCCCCTCTCTCTCTTTCTTCTTCTTCTGGGATCCCAATTATTCTCATGTTGTTTTGCTTTATGGTATCACTTATCTCTTATTCTTCCCACATGATCCAGTAGTTGTTTATCTCTTTTTCTCAGCTTCTTTATTCTCCATCATTTGGTCTTCTGTATCACTAATTCTCTCTTCTGCCTCATTTATCCTAGCAGTTAGAGCCTCCATTTTTTATTGTACCTCATTAACAGCCTTTTTGATTTCGACTTGGTTAGATTTTAGTTCTTTTATTTCTCCAGAAAGGGATTCTCTAGTATCTTCTATGCTTTTTTCAAGCCCAGCTAGTATCTTTATAATCATCATTCTGAATTCTAGTTCCTACATCTTACTAATGTCTGTACTGATTAGGTCCCTGGCAGTCGGTACTGCCTCTTGTTCTTTTTTTTGAGGTGAGTTTTTCTGTCTTGTCATTTTGTCCATAGGAGAACAGATGAATGAGAGAACAAAATGCTAAAAGGGTAACAACGACCCCAAAAAAATATACACTTCCAGAAAGTGGTCGCTTCTCTGTTCATAGAATTGCTGCTATTTTCTTCGCTCTCCTGTTGAGTTTGTAGGTGTTCTGAATGGTTTGGTAACTATCTAGCTGAATTCCTGGGACCAGATGAAATTTAGGTCTCCTACTCCTCCACCATCTTGCTCCTCCCCCTCGCACAGGGTCTACTTGAGATTGTCGCTCTCCCTCTCCCTCTGTCCCTCCCCACTGGTGCATGCTCCTTCTAATAAATGAATAAAATCTTTTTTTAAAAAAGCAATAAAAAAGTTATTTCTTATTTAATGTATGCTAATTTGCCCAACAGTTCAAATTGTAAACAGTTTTCAGTCTATCTACTCTTTAAGACTAAATATACCCTCCTAATTTACAACAAAAATGAAACATTTTAAAAATACATACCATCATCATCTTTGCTTTCTAGAGGAACACTCCAGGCTATCAGGTTTCTTGCTGTACGACCCTCCTCTGCAACTATTCTCCTTACTTTGTCATGACTATTGGAGCGCTGGAATGATGCCTATATACAGAAAAAAGAATATATATTAATTAGTCAACATATAAAATATATTTGGCTGACAAATTCATTATTTCTCACATTTTCTCACAAAGGAAGCACTTAAAACTAATTTAGGATTGAAAAGGTAGTTAAACAGAGAAAAAGTAAGTCACAGATCTTTTTATTTCTGAAAAGACTGGTCTTACAATTTTAAACATAAACAAATTATTTCAAAAATAAATACAAACCAACGTTTGAAAATGTGCCCTAAGAAGCACAAATACTGCTTTGTACACATTTCAGCACCACCACTTACACAGCAACAGTTCTGATCCTCTGATTTCAATCCTATACACAGGGTTCATTTTAGCCTTTCCCTTATTCATAATTTCTTTCTCTGCCAGTCAGAAACCCGGTTCTCATTACCTAAAATATATTTACTTATCTGTTCAATTCTACTACATACATAAAGTAGTTTCAGAATTGCTAACCCACAGCATTTATTAACAAGATACAACATTTCTATACAATTCTTATCTTTAGCCTTACAGTATCCAAAGTACTGGATTTTGTTTCCAAAATTACTTAAATTAGTTCTTCTCGGGCACCTGGGTGGCTCAGATGGTTAAGCGTCTGCCTTCGGCTCAGGTCATGATCCCAGGGTGCTGGGATCGAGTCCCGCATCGGGCTCCCTGCTCCTTGGGAGCCTGCTTCTCCCTCTGCTTCTCTCTCTCTCTCTCTCCCTCTCTCTCTCCCTCTGCCTCTCATGAATAAATAAATAAAAATCTTTAAAAAAAAATTAGTTCTTCTCATCCTCACCCCTATTTTCAATGAGATTACACTATTCACTTGCAGTATGTTACTCTTTCCTTTCCGTTTTGGGTTCTCCTCACCTACTGGTTGATTTTAAGTGCTCGTTTATTGGGGGAGTGTGTAAAAGAAAGCAACACATTATTCTCAAAGTAACTTATTGATGAATAGTATGACTTGAAGAGAAGAAAAAAGACACTACACTCTAGAGCATGGGTCAGCAAACTCCTACAAAGGGCCTGATGACAACTTTTTATTTTAGGCTTTGCAGGCCATACAGTCTCTGTGACAACTAGTCAACCATGCCTTTTTGTGTGAAAGCAGCCAGAACTTAACTTTTACATCTTTAAAATAAATACCTGCCCCCACATTCCTTCATTCTTCTGACTTTACCCTGGATATCCACGTGGCATCCACTTACCTAACTCATAAGCTTATGCTGAAACTCATTAATCTGCAACCACTATTTCAGCTCCATCCTGTGCAAAATTCTTGAATCATCTCTATTCCCATATTTTCCAATCAAGTTAACACTATAAAATGTCCTTTTTTTGGATTAAACACATCTCCCAGTGATTATTAGCTCTATAAATAATTTAGTTGGCAACTACCATTTAAGTTACCTAAGCACTGTTTTAAGCAAGATGCCTATAGGCCTATTCCTTATAGGCCAGATGAACAAGTTTAAATAGGTGGCCTACTCTTCAGCTTTTTCAGATAATTTCAGATAATTATGCAATCACATAAAATCTTATAGGTAGATATAAGGAGATATATATATCATAAAATTCATTATTCTATACATTATTCTCTAACTTAAGAGTCTTCATAAAGTGATGAATTTCTAGGAACTAAAGTGATCACAAGATAGCAATGATATAATAATGCTAAAACAGAAAACTTGAAATCTAATATTCTTTTCTTCTATAAATGTTTCAATTCTACCATAAATTTTGCAAAGTTGGTTCTTTTTTTAAAGATTTTATTTATTTATTTGAGAGAGAGAGAGAGAGAGCAAGAATGTGCACAAGCCGGGGGCAGGGTGCAGAGGGAGAAGCAGACTCCCTGCTGGGCAGGGAGCCCTACATGGGGCTCCATCCCAGGACCCTAAGATCATGACCTGAGCTGAAGGCAGACGTTTAACCAACTGAGCCACCCAGGCACCCCAAAGTTAGTTCTTTTATTCTTAGTACACGTACACAAATTCAAAGAAAAAGCTACCACCAACTCAAGACTTTGTTTTAATTCTTAATTCTAGTACTTCACATGCAAAAACATCGTAACATTCATCTTACTACAACATCTGAGAACCATTTTTCCATAAAATCACAGGTGCATTCTGTAACATATGCTAAGTGACCTCTTTTCAATAACTCACAAATTCTAGTCATTTTTAATAACCCTATTGTTATAAAGATGTCAGTAGTAACTTAAATACGATAGTTTTAAGCATTTTGCTATTCAATAAATGACTCTGAGATACTTCATAACGTTACAGATGTCTATTTCAAACAGAATTTTCATCTAGGTTCTTCCAGGAAACTTAAACAAAATACACTATTTTCATCCCAAAGTCATAGTGTGCCACCTAGTGCCATATGGAGATTTTGCAGAGGCTTGTTCAAATACTAAACGTTTCAGTAAAAAGCATAAACATCAGTCCTAAGTGAAAGTTTTTATGTTTAACACTTACAGTTTATCATTTAAGTATATAATTTCTGAGACTTGCTCCTAGACTGGGAAAAGAAATTTTTAACCTATCTGCTAAGGCTAAAAAAAATTTAAATAATTTCTACTTTAAGCAACTTTGTTCATAATCCTAAACTGGCTTCAAGCACTATTTATTAAATTTTTATGTTTGTACCTCCATTAAAGTTACTACTTCTCACAAGTTCTTCAAAATCCATCCATAATACTACTTGCTCATAAAACTCATTTCCCTTCTTTTTTAAAATGGTTTTTCAGCTTTCTAAATAATTCAGGAAAGACCCTTTCTTTTAAATTCCCACTACTAAAGCCCTTCATATTTTAAGTAGTATGAAGACAAGATTACCAGTCACTGAACACCAGGAGTACATTAAAATTCTAAGAGTGGTAGCACTTATGTATACTTTCAACAAACCACAAACTTATCTGAGAAACTGAGTAACTGGTACAATTTCCCTAACATAGGATGTGGAGCTGGAATTCTGTACAGTGACCTATGATAACTTTGTCAGATCTTACCGACATTTCACATCTTTCTAAACGTAAAGTAAAGCCCTAGATCAACTAAGGCTGTCCAGACTATCACAAGGGACAAAAATAAACTTCAATCTTGTATGAGCTACTTTGTTTTGAGATCTCTGTTAGAACAGATATCGAATCTTACCAATTCTATCTCCTAAATATATCTTGAAATTGTAAATCCACTAATATCACCCGAATCTGAGCCATCATCATGTCAAACATAAACTATTCTAACAGCCTCTGTGACAGAGACAACAATATGTTCACCAAAACCACTAGATTTTTGTCCTGCTACAAAGCTATATAACACTTACTGGGCTCTTGCAGAGAGATGGCCATATGACTAAATTCTGCACGCTAAAATATAGGCAAAAATAAGGTAAGCCCAGGCCTGGCTTATAAAGAAAATCTCATGTGTCACCATTTATATTCTCTCTCTCTTTTCTCCCACTTACTGGCCAGATGCAGAGGACCCAACACAGAACTCTAGAGAATGAGTAAAAAGACAAAAATAGAGTTGGTCCCTGAGTTACAATGTGAAAGGCTGAATGCTGAATACCTGCACTGAACTATTATGTGAATAAGAAATAAACTTCCCTTCTGCTTATAAAGGGCTAGGTAATTCAGACCAACCATCCACTTGAGAAAAACTGTAAGAGCTGAACAAAATATTTTTTAAACATCTGTTTAAAGCACCAGAAAAGGGTGCCTGGGTGGCTCAGTTGGTTGAGCAACTGCCTTCGGCTCAGGTCATGATCCTGGAGTCCTAGGATCAAGTCCCGCATTGGGCTCCCAGCTCAGCAGGGAGTCTGCTTCTCCCTCTGACCCTCTTCCCTCTTGTGCTTTCTATCTCTCATTCTATCTCAAATAAATAAATAAATAAAATCTTAAAAAAAAATAAAATAAAGCACCAGAAAAAAGTGAAGGAAGCAAGCAATCATAGGGCAAGATCAGGGAAAATAAGAAACTTAAAGAGGTGAGTCCAGCAATCAGGGCTGCTGTTGTCCCAGAGGCACCTGGCAATTCCAACCGACACAACCAAGACAGAAAAGTTGACCAGAGTTTGATAGACTTGCAAAAGTACAGAAAGAAAATCCGTCCAGGGCCATCGCAGGCGTTAGGTTGAAACCCTGAAGTTCCATCCCCTTAGAATAAGGGTAAACTAGAAATAGATAAGCCCTCACAAAAAAAGAGCCAATTTTGAATCATTTCAATATCTGGCAGGATTAAACTATGACTGCCAGTGTCCCTAGCCATTGCCAAAAACAAAACTAAATTTTCTAGGGAATATACTATCATCTTAGGCATCTTACCATCTTTTCTAGGGAATATATTATCATCTTATCTATTATTCACATATACCTGTACCCAATCAAAAAATACCACACTATGAAACATGTCAAATAGCTGAAAAATCAAGAAAAAAAACAGAAAATAGAAATATACCCACACATGATCCAAATAATGGAGCTATCAGACAAAGATTTTAAGGTGAGTCTACTTAATATGGCCCAGAAAATTAAAAGACCAGATTGAGAGGCACCTGGGTGGCTCAGTCAGTTAACTGTCTGACTCTTGATTTTGGCTCAGCCATGATCTCAGGGTCGTGAGATCAAGCCCCATCTATCAGGCTCCGTGCTCAGCACAGAGTCTGCTTCTCCCTCTCCCCCCTCCCCTGCTCATGCTCTCTCTAAAATAAATAAAAAAATAAAATCATTTAAAAAAAAAAAGAAGTCAGGTAGAGAAAGACAAATACCATATGATTTCATTCATATGTGAAATTTAAGAAATGAAACAAATGGACAAAAAACAAAAGAAACAAACTGAATAATATAGAGAATTGCTGAATCACTATATGGTACACCTAAAACTAATATAACGCTATATGTTAACTATGCTGGAATTAAAATAAAATTTAAAAAAAGGATGGTAGCAATATTAAACAAAGCAGACTTTAAGGCAAGGATTACCACTAGAGATAGAATGATATTTCATAAGTGTAAAAGGTTCATCAACCAGTGAATTATAACAATTCTTAACGTGTATCTAATAACATATAAGGAAAAACTGAAATAGGAAAAAACAGTATCACCATGGAAGATTTTAACATACCTCTTTAAGAAGCTGGCAGAATAAGTAGACAAAAACAGTTAAGTAACAATACAGAAGACTTGAACAACATAATTAACAAACCACATATTTGACATATCCGGAACCCAACATTCAACAATGGTAGAATATACATTCTTTTCAAGTGTATGTTATTTTCCAGACTGTAGATACCCTGGGTCATAAAGCAGGCCTCACTAAATTTCAAAGAACAGAAAGTACCAAAGAGAGATAACCAGAAAAATCCTTATATGTTTGGAAATTAAGCAATACATTTCTAAATAACTTAAAGATCAAAGAAGTCACATTGGAAATTTTAAAATATTTTCAATTGAATCATAATAAAAATATGACACATCAGTACTTGTACAGCAGCCAAAGCCATGCTTAAAGGAAAATGTATAGCCATAAAATGATATAATGACAAAAAGCTAAAAATCAATGATCTGAGTCTCTATTTCAAGAAGCTAGAAAGAGTAGCATATTAATTCCAAAAAAAGAAGGAAATGATAAGCAGCAAAAACCAATAAAATACAAGACAAACATATGATAGTGAAAAACTAATAATAAAACCTAAAATGGGTTATATGAAAACATTAATGAAAGAATAACCAATATCAGGAATAATAAAGGAAAATCACTACAGATTCTAAAACCTCCAAGCTTTAAAAAGGTAAAAGGATAACTATCAACTTACAATATTTGATATAATGCACAAATTCCTTGAAAAATATAACTTACCAAATCCTTGGTGACACTGTTGAGCACATGCTACTGAAAGCATGCTAACACGGTATTCCCCCTAGCCCAACTAAAACCTACTGGTCTTCAAGTCTCAACTTAAAAAGTAACTCTCTCAGAATGAAGTACTTTAACCCCCAGACTTAGCCAGGACCACTTTTATATGCATGAACCAACCTGTACTCTTTTGCAGTACATTTCACAATTACATTTCAAATCCTATAATTACGTATTTACCATCTATCTTCCCCCATGAATGACGAATAATTGGCATGATAAAGAAATCATGAATGACTGAAATAAGTGTATCATGAATAAATGAACAACATCACTGGGAAATGAGGTATCAACATAAATCCATAACTAAAGTTTGCCCTGCTAAGCACAAATTTTTTCCATTTTACCATTTTGGATAAAAATCTCTGAATCATACTTTCCTGACTTTTAAACGGAGGCTACTGAAGGAACTTCCTCTTTTCTTGGTACTTTCAGATTATCACTATGAACAACTTTTGTATGATACTATAATATGCCCTCGGGAGCTATAGAAGTACACAGGATGGTAGCTGTAAGATAAATGGGCCCAGACCAAAATGCTTTTTAGACTTTTTGAGTTCTTTACTTCCTGATGATTAGGCAGAACACAAAAGCTTAATTCCCAATTATTTTCTCTTCTTCCCTATCCAGCTATCAGCTTTCAATTCTTACTTGTTAGAATTATGGGAATGTTACTACTATGGTTCTGAATAAGAAGCTCAAGAATTCTACAAGTACAGTGAACATACTTTCATTGTATGAATTATCTGTTATGGATGATCACAGACATTTTTAATTTACTCTTGGGTTTTTGGCCACATTCCTTGAAGCCACAGTTGGCAGATTAGCAGTGCTTTACTACACTTTGCCCATTAGAGCTGTTTAAAAACAAGACAAATCAATAGGAAATACTATGAAGTTGTTAAAGGAAATAAAGACCTCTGATGCTCTAGGGTATATTGCAAAGATACTAAACGAAAAAGAGATGTAAGGAAAGGAGGACAAAAAAACTAAGGTTAGAATTTAAGGTAGCTCGATCACTTACCATCATTCTTTAATTTCCTTGTATGCCAAGAAGCTCATTTACCACAGAAACCCCTGGGGTGTGACTCCTACAATAAAAAAGAAAAAGAAAAAAAAAATATATATATATATACTCTTACTCATAACATTGTCAAAAATGTTTACGCTTAAAAAGATACAAGTCTCATCAGAAGTTTGTCATTACATTAAACAACAACAAAATAAAATTGCTCCTTTATACTGCCTGTTTGGATATAATATAGCATGTTTTAAATATTCCATACTGAAGAATACCTTAAGGTTATCTCCCCCAAATTTTTTTAAGTTAAACAGAAGAGAAACACTGTTAATTACTGAATAGTCTATGAGATCTCAATGCAGACTTTTTTTTACTACCATTTATATAGTGCACACAACACACATACAGTACATCCTTACTCAGTTCACAAATATATGTTTAACTGAAACAAAAGTTTCCTAAAGTAGTGTTTATCCCTATTGTGTGAGATGCATTCTGACATATCCTTCTCATTTTTCAAATGCTGCTTTCATTAAATTGAGTTATGACCCACTAATGAATGACAACTAGTATACAAAACATTGTACCTCTTCTTAGGAACTTTGGAAAACTGAGATTTTATCAGAATATTTTAATTACTATTACATAAGCCTCCACATAGAACAGATCTTACTTTTCAGGATATCAATATAATGTGGCCAAACCTTTACTCAAAGAAATCCAAAGCAGAAACCTAGATAGAACAAAAAGGGCCAGAGATATTGCTAGAAAGAACGGCCTAACCCTATAATGAACAAAGAAAAGAAAGTAGCAATTAGAACCTAGGTGTTTCAGGGATGGGAGCCTAGGTAACTTATCCATTGCCAAGTGAATCTGCTCATTTTAAAATGCAGCACCTCAAATGAAAACACACGTCCACATAAAAACTTATACCCAAGTATTCATAGCAGCATTATACATAATGGCCAAAAGTGGAAACAACCCATACAATGGAATATTATTGGGCCATAAAAAGGAATAAAACGCTTATACATGCTACAACATGGAGGCACCTTAAAAACATTATGCTAAGTGAAAGAAGCCAGTCACAAAAGACAATATATTATAAATTTATAGGTAATGTCTAGAATAAGCAAATCCATAGAGTCAGAAAATAGATTATTGGTTGCCTAGGGCTAGAGAGTTGGAGAAAAATGGGAATGACTGCTAAAGAGGACAGAGTTTCTTTTTGGGATGACGAAATGTTCTAAAATCCATTATGGTGATGATTGCACAACTCTGTGAATATGCTAAAAGCCATTTTTTAAATGGCTGAATTGCGGCACCTGGGTGGCTCATTCAGTTAAGTGTCTGCCTTTGGCTCAGGTCACGATCCCAGGGTCCTGAGATCAAGCACAATGTTGGGCTCCCTGCTCAGCGGGGAGCCTGCTTCTCCCTCTCCCTCTGCAGCTCCCCCTACTTGTGCTCACGCTCTCTCTCCCTGCCTCCCTCTGCCAAATTAATTAATCTAAAAAAGTTTTAAATGGCTGAATTGTATGATGTATGAACTGTATCTCAATTAAACTGTTCTGTTTTTACATGCAGTGCCTCTGTTCACAACTCTCCAATTCCTCTCCATTTCAAGAGTAAAAGCCAAAGTCCTCAGAGTAGCCTATCATATTCATACCTCTCTGACCATACCTCGACTCCTCTCCTCTTTGATGTTCATTCCACTCCAGCCACACTGGCTTCTTTATGTTCCCCCAAATGCCAGACACACGCCTGCCTCAGGGCTTTATACTTACTTGGAACACTCAAGATTTACTCCATCTTTGCTCACATGTCACTTCCTCAGTGAGGCCTTCTCAAACACTATTACTGCAACCCATTCAAGGGTGCCTGGCTGGCTCAGTCAGTAGAGCATGCAACTCCTGATCTCAGGGTTGTTGAGTTCAAGCCCCATGTTGGGTGTAAAGATTACTTTAAAAAAGTAAAGTAAAATCTTTAAATTAAATTAAATTAAATTGCAACCCATTTATTCTGACCCCCACCCCTGACACTCCCTATCCCACTTCTCTAGAGCATTTATCACCTTATATTATTTACTTAATTGGTATAGTGTCCATCTCTCCCTACAAGAACATAAGCTTCACAGTATTTGTTGGTTTTGTTACTGCTATGGCCTCAGTACCTAGAACAGTGCCTGGCACTGAGTAGGCATTAAATACTTATTTACTAATAAATAAAGCCCATGCTAAAGAATATTTGCTCACCATGTTGTCTTGCTCTCACCCTCCTACATATTCAAAGCCTTCCAATTGTTCCAGATCAACTCAAAAGTCATCTTCAAAAAGCCTATTCTGACATCCTCAGCTGACAGAGATCTTTTACATCTGAATTTCCAGACCATATCATCTGTATTCTTTACTTCTAAAAAGTAGGAGAAAGCATGATATAGTGGAAAGAGTATATAGAGACACTGGAATCAACCAAAGCACTGACTATGTGACCTTGAGAAGTCATTTAATCTCTTTTGAGTATCAGTATTTTCATCTATAAAGATGAAGAGGTTTAAAGGCTATGTCCTCATTTTTCCAAAATAGATATACAAATACCTAATAACATGAAAAGATGTTGAATACTACAGATATACAAATCATAACCACAATAAGATACCACTTCACACCCACTAGGATGGCTATAATGCAAAAGACAAACAATAACAAGTATTGGAGAGGATGTGGAAAACTGGAGGTAACATACACGGCTTGTTGGGAACGTAATATGCTGTAGCTGGTTTTGTAAATAGTCTGGCAGTTCCTCAAAAAGTTAAACAGAGTTACCATATGACTCAGCAATTCCACTGTTAGGTATATACCCAAGAGAAATGAAAACATGTCCACACAAAAACTTGCATACAAATGTTTATAGCAGCATTATTCATAATATTCAAAAAGTGAAACAATCCAAATGTCCATCAACTGATGGATAAATAGAATGTGGTAATCCACACAATAAAATATTATTCAGCCATAAAAAGACATAAAGTTTCTGAAAAAGTCAAAACTATGGAGACAAGGAAAAGATCAAGTGTTACAGCAGTTAGGAAGAAGGAGGGATAAATAGGCAGAACACAAAATTTTCAGGGCAGCGAAAGTACTCTTTATGATACTATAATGGTGGATACAATACATGTCATTACACATTTGTCCAAACCCATAAATACAACACCAAGAGTAAATACAAATGTAAACTACAGACTTTGGTGTGATAGGGACTTGTCAATATAAGTTAAATCAATTGTAACAAACATACCACTCTGGTGGGGGATGTTGATAAAGGGGGGGTTGTTGATAAAAGTAGAGCAGGGAGGATATGGGAAGTCTCTGTACTTTCCTCTCAATTTTGCTGTGACCCTAAAACTACCCTAAAAAAATAAAGTGTTAAAAAAAAAAAAAGGTAGTGCTGATACATGCTACAACGTGAACACTGAAAACATTATGCTAAATGGAAGAAGCTAGGCACAAAAGACCACATATTATATGATTTTATTAATATGAAATGCCAGAATAGACAAATCCATAGAGAAAAAAAAGATGAGTGGTTGCCTAGGGCTGGTGCAGGAAGTAGGATGGAGAAGCGAGGAAGGTCAGGAATGGGGAATGGCTGTTATGGAGTTTCATATTGGGGTTTTGAAAATGTTCTAAAGTAAATTGTGGTGATGGTTACACAAAATGGCTAAATTTTATGGTATGTGAGATATATCTCAATAAAGCTATTTTAAAAAACCCTGCATGTAAGTTGGTACAGCCACTTTGGAAAACAGTGTGGGGGTTCCTCAAAAAATTAAATATAGAGCTACCCTATGACCCAGCAATTGCACTACTGGGTATTTACCCCAAAGTACAGATGTAGTGAAAAGAAGGGCCATATGCACCCTAATATTCACAGCAGCAATCTCCACAATAGCCAAACTGTGGAAAGAGTCAAGATGCCCTTCAATAGACAAATGGATAAAGAAGATGTGGTCCATATATACAAAGGAATATTACTCAGCCATCAGAAAGGATGAATACCCAACTTTTGCATCAACATGGATGGGACTAGAGGAGATTATGCTAAGTGAAATAAGTCAAGCAGAGAAAGTCAGTTATCATATGGTTTCACTTATTTGTGAAACATAAGGAATAGCATGGAGGACATTAGGAGAAGGAAGGGAAAAATGAAGGGGGGGAATCGGAGGGGGAGACGAACCATGACAGACTATGGACTTGGAGAAACAAACTGAGGGGTTTAGAGTGGAGAGGGGTGGGGGGATGGGTTAGCCCAGTGACAGGTATTAAGGAGGGCACATACTGCATGGAACACTGGGTGCTATACGCAAACAATGAATCATGGAACACTCTATCAAAAATGAATGATGTACTGTATGGTGAATAACATAACATAATAAAAACAAAAAACAAAAAAAACCCTAATACCTAATCCAGAACTTCCAAAATTTCAAGCATTCAGTTACTACTTTCATATTTGCTATAACTACCACCTATACTATTATTTCTATAACATTTTTCTCTAAAACTTTTACTTCTATTTTAAAAGAAAATTTATAACACTGTCATAAACAATCAGTTAATATAAAAAATGGATATGGCAAATATTGGCAGTGCTATTCAAATAAATTTGAGAAACTCTAGGCTACAGTAAAACAATGGGCAAGCAGAAAATGAAGCACAAAACAACAACAAAAAAACAAGTCAGTAAACAGGGAAGAGACACTAGGATTGACTGGGCCAGAGATTTCTGAACAAGCTGCTGCCAGTGATAAACTGAAGTCTCACTTGTCCTAGCCTGCCCTACAGCCCCAGAAAGTCTGTGGAGACACCTGAGAGTCCTACAAATGGAAATGGGAAGATTGGCTCAAATGCCAGGAAAGGCCTGCCTCATTTCTTTACCTGAGTTTAGGTACACAGGTTCTGAAAAGGCAAGAAGTAAATGGCAGATTCAAAACAGTGAGAAGCCTGCTAGTAACTCTACTCTAAAAAATATAGGCCCATCTAACAGAAGCCAGGACAGTACATCTATGAATTGTTCTCATGTTTGCCAATAAATTCTAGAAAAATTGGGTTTGGCAATATCCAATGTTCACAAAATCTATCACTCAATGTTCTGGCATTTTCTGAAATTGAAGAAAATCTGAATATATCCGAGTCTGATACTTATACAATGCCATTGTCGGCATACTCAAAAACTATCAGTAATTGTTCACATCTTTGCTGAGTGGAAAATAAATGTATTATGGTAAAATAAGTACTTTGAAGAACACCACAGACATTTTATAGTTCCAAGCAGTTTAATGAAATTTTCAATTCTGATCACTCACATATATATTACTATGAAGAAATCAACTAGAAGGCATTCATCTTCTCCCATGAACCTGGCATGCCTCTTTGAAAATACCAAACTACCTTTCTCCTGCAATACTATATTAAACAAGCCTAACACAAACTGAAATCTTTACAAATCAAATATGTCTGAGATTTGCTTCAAAACAATGAAGGGGGGTTAGCTTTTATGAGACAAGATTGTCCATGCATACATATTACTGAAATAGACTGGTACACAGCAATTAATTCTACTATTCTAATCCACGTTTTCAAAATATATAATGAATTTACCGATGTGGGAAACAAAGGCAAAAGAAAAATTAAATTTCCTTACTACCTACAGCCCACTGACAAGTCCTTAAAACAGGCAGAGTGACATTCCTCTAGGGACTCAGCTGCTTTGACGTCAATACTTTGCTAAGGGCAAAAGGCAATCCTAGGGCGCCTGGGTGGCTCAGTCGTTAAGCGTCTGCCTTCAGCTTGGGTCATGATCCCAGGGTCCTGGGATCGAGTCCCACATCGGGCTCCCTGCTCTGCGGGAAGCCTGCTTCTCCCTCTCCCACTCCCCCTGCTTGTGTTCCTGCTCTCGCTATCTCTCTCTCTGTCAAATAAATAAAAAAATCTTAAAAAAAGGCAATCTTAGCCAGACCCTCCAGGATCCTGTAAATCTACTTTAACATATAAAAATTTCTTTGGAAACTTCCTTTATCTCTACTCCCCAAGATACACGTTGGCAATCATCCCCCAAGCATATGACCCACCGATAAACATCTGAAGGGTCTCTTGACTAGGGTTTTACTAAACAGTAAGAAATTACTTTTTTCCAACAATAGCCCCTCAAGGTTCTGGAAACCTTGCTTCCAAAATTCCTTAGAGACTTGCTCTATCCCTAATCCCCACCCCAGCTTGAAAATATATAATGGGCCACTCCTCATGACCCCAGTGCAGCTCTTTCTGCCCATGGGTCCTGTCCCAAGCTTTACTAAAACCACCTTTTTGCACCAAAGACATCTCAAGAACTCTTTCTTGGCCATTGGCTTCGAACCCTAATGTCTTTCCTACATCACTTACTACTTTAAGTAGTCATTATTTTAGCAAAACTTCATGAAATCTTTAGTGTTTCATGTCCAGAGTAAATAAAGACTTTCTATATATCATTTCCTCCTAATAATTTTGTAAGGTGGCTCCACCAGTGAACTGCAGGACTTTTTGCTGTTTCTACCCCATAAGATGTACTGTCAAAGCCAAACATATTTGTGAAGGTCACCATCCAAGCATAAAACTGGAAACAGATTTTTATTAATAAGTTTGTTATTCAAGCCACTTGCAGTCATCACTTCTACAATTTCAGAAATGCCAATGTCACAATGGATATAGGATTGCACCATTAGAGAGAATTCTGTTTAACTTCCCAATAAATGCCACTACCACTTTCTAAATGTTTAAAGAATGTTCACATGTGATTCCCAAATAATTCTGTTTCTCCTTTAAAATTAGGATGAGTTGTGATTAGTTATGAAGGTGAAAGAAAAGACAGAATCTCAAGCCCCTTCATCTTATCGTTAAAACGTTCCTGAAAGAGGTTAAGTGAAGGTATTAATAACGTTAATATCAAATCAAACTTTTAGTGATTCTTAAGTATTTATGAAGCCCTAAGGCCATTTTTAAAGTCTATGTTTAAAACACTAATCCTGTGAACCCTAGTCACCAAAATTATTTATAAATGCATTTCTATAGTACCACTGATTATGCTTCCATGCATAATCCACCAGGTGGAATGACCAAAGGTGGTTAACTTTAGAGAATAAAAAAATGCAGCACAAGGGAGCAGGAGAAAGAAGAAGCATTTGTTGAGAGCTATGGGGGAGGAGTTCTTAATGCTTTACAGACACCTCATTTACTTGCTATCAAAAAATACATGAGGTGAATATTATCTCTATTTTACAGATGAAGAAATCAAGACTCAGAAAAATTAAGTAATCTGCCAAAGGACAAGTAGTGAGGCTGGGATTCAAACTCAGATCAATTTGCCTTCAAAGCCATCATTATCACACTTCCTCCCACAAAGAAATTTTCCAATATTAAAATTGACTGTTCAATTAATATTAATTAAAATATTAATTCCTAAAAAATGAAATCTTGCCATTTGCAATGATATGGATGGAACTGGAGTGTATTATGCTAAGCAAAATAAGTCAGAGAAAGACAAATACCATATGATTTCACTTATATGTGGGATTTAAGAAGCAAAACTGATGAACATAAGGAAAGGGAAGGAAAAACAAAGAAAGATAAAGATAGAGAGGGAGGCAAACCATAAAAGACTCTTTAGTATAAGGAACAAACTGAGGGTTACTGGAGGGGAGGTGGGTGGAGGGATGGTATAACTGGGTGATGGGCATTAGGAGGTAATGAGCACTGGGTGTTAATATGAAACTTATGAATTACTAAATTCTACCCCTGAAACTAATACTACACCATATGTGAACTAACTTGAATTTAAATAAAATCTTGAAAGAAAAATAAAATATTAATTCCTTAGTGGATATTATTCAGATCATTTCCATATGTGGCATAAATCAATCTGCATCCAACACATTCTGAGGAAAAGTCATAGAAAAAAATACAAGGGCCAGAGCACCAATATAAATCAGAGTGGGATAATGGTTGGATTACCAACCCTAGGTGGGAAAGCATCATCCCAGATCAACCATTCACCAGCGGGTGACCCTGCGGCAAGTCATAACTTCTCTGAACCTCAGTTTCCCCATTCATAAAACGTACACAATGCCTATCCCACCCTTCCACCTCGGATTATGAGTGAAATAGTTAAAATTGGTGAAATCAATGTGTAAACTGTAACAAATTATAATACATACAAAGAATTGCTATCTATTCGGTAAGATGACTATAATGAATAGCTATTTTCATGGAAAATATCTTAGCACAAACAGAATGATGGATACAGTCCACCAGCAACAGGAAGCTGCTCTCAGGCAGGCAGCCCCATCTCAGCGAGAGCCACTTGACAGCAGCAGGTGCTCAGAGAATGAGTTTTCTGTCAGCTTTCTAAAAATCCCGTCACTCACTGGCGCGGGGGAGAAGGCGCGAATGAAGTGGTGGAAAGGAGCACTAACAGAGGCAGAAGGCTGGGTCCTATTACTCCCAGGTGCGAGGCATTGGTTCAACTCTTCACCCCTCCAGGCCTCAGTTTATGCATTTGTAAGACGGAGAGCCATTCCCGCCCTGCTTCCCTGACAACTAAGACCCGAATAATCGAGCAGGGAAAGCGTGGTAAACCCTGCGGAGAATGAGATGATGATGGCGATCACCTGTCAAATGAAGAGCCGGTGGGAGTCTCCTCCGGAAGCCCGTTGCAGTTTGGACGTTCCAGAAGCCTCGACAAGCGCGCCGCAGCGCACCCCATTAAGGGGTGAATAGTCCCCCGCCCACTCCCCCGCCGTGGGGTGCGCAGGGTCCCACGTCCCTCACACCCCAGCTGAACCCGCAGGGCAGGCCAGGAGCCTGCCCACCGCCGCCCCCCAGGCCTCCTGAGAGGAACCCCGGCCCTCCAGAGCAGCCGCGGCTCCCCTCCCCCAGCACCGATCGCTGCCCCTCTCCGCCCGCACTCCCAGGTGAGGGAAGAGTGTGAAGGGGAGTACCCGCCGCCATTTTGTCCCTTGGACCCCGCAACGCATTCTGCCGGCCCGCGCCCCAGCCCAGGCCCTCCCGGGTCTGCACTACTCGCGCCCCTCGCGGACACTCACCCCCGGCCGCCCTGCGCAGTTCGGAGCTGCTCCGAGCGTCCCGCCGGGAAAGGGGCGGGGCGGGGCGGGGCGGGGCGGGGCGGCTGAGGAGGGGCGGGGCGGCTACCCGGCGCACCATGTGACTCCCAGCCGTGGCCGCGCTGCTCGGGGCCCCTCGCCGCGGCCGGCAGCGCGCAAGCGCAGCCGGGTTCGCGCCGTCCGGCCGCGGAGGCGGGAAGCTGGGCGTGGGTTAGGTTTCCTTGTCCCGGGGTCGCTGCCTCTCCGGACCTCTTCCCAGGGTGCTCTCGCCTCGCTGCTTTTAGCCACAGTCTTGGATTCAGTCCCTTTCCTCCGCCCGTCTCACCGCCAGTTAGTCCCACAGATTGGCGACCTGGAGGTCCGCCTCACAGAAATCTGTACTCGTGAAAACGCCTCGGAAAAGCATGCAGGACTACGCCCGACGAGCACAGCTTACCCTCCTCCGTGAAGCTTTATTCGTCCTTTCTTGTGTTCCAGGCTTGAAAGGCTCAAAGTACAAAGACCTAACAGATGTGTTTTCTCTACTTCAAAGACAAAATAAACACATGAACGGTGTTTAAATCACAGTTCTGAACAAAACAGAGACTCAAGGCAGACCATAATTAAATGAATATTCCACATCACTTTTCATCCATCTGGGAAACTCACACTCAACCCTTGCTACCCACAATATGCAGAAGTCGTGGAATCCAGTGCAGTCTACCTCACAATTAAGAATATAAGCTTATGGTAACATAAGGAGGATGGATCAGGGAACATACTGCAATTTCATAAAAGGTGGTCGGGGCTTTATTCCTCTTTACAACTATTCCTTTTCTCCTCTCCTTTAATTCCCATAAGGATTTAAACAACCTCTCCCATCTTGAAATCTCCCACCCAACCCACCAAACCCCACTTCAACCTGTTTTTTTTCTCTTTGCAGATCTGCCTTTCACTGCTACACTTTCCTCAATCATCCAAACAATGTCTCTACTTCCTCAACCACAACTCATGTCCAGTAACTCACGTCATTGCACTCTTGTTTCTGCCCTACCACCATATGGAAAGCATTCTTTCCAAAGTCACTCGGGATCTCCTAACTGCAGTTGCTATGAACGTATTCATCATGACCTAACTTAATTTCTCTGCATTAGTTGACACTCCTTACTTCTGGAAACACTCTTTCCTTGCCTTTCATCTTTACTCTCTTGATCTCAATCTTCCATCTCTAACCACCCCTCTTCATCTCTTTTGAAGTCTCCTCTTCTTTCTTCCATCTCTTCAGTGTTGGTATCCCTGAGGGATAAGTGCAAGACCTCTCTTTTCCCACTGGACACGCTCTCTCTGGGTGATTGCTTTTTCTCAGTTAGCATCTTTGTGCTTTATATTTCCCAGTATATAGCTCTAGGCCTGATTGCTGCTCCTGAGCTCCAGATCTACATGGTTAAGTACCTGGTTACCTCCACATGACCCTCTCAAAACCAACAAGACAAAAAAAAAAAAAAAACAAACACTCATTATCTTTCTTGTATACATGTAAAACAGCCTTGTGAGATAATTTACATACCACACAATTCACCCACTTAAAGTGTTCAGTGGTTTTTAATACATTCACAGAATTGTGCAACCATCACTACAATTAATTTGAGAATATTTTCATCACCCCAAAAAGAAACCTCATACTTCTTAGTAGTCACTTGCCCATTTTCTCTCGATTCCCTATTCTGGACACTTCATGTAAAGGGAATCATGCAATATTTTGTGACTGACCTCTTCCCCTCAGCATAATGTTTTCAAGGTACAACCACACTGTAGCATGTATGAATACTCCAGTCCTTTTTTGTGGTCAAATAATATTTCATTGTGTGGACATACCACATTGGATTTATCCATTCATCAGTTGAAGGACATTTAGGTTATCTCCCCTTTTTCATTGTAATGAATAATGTTGCTATGAACATATGTGTATGAGTTTTGGGTGGACATATGTTTTCATTTCTCGTGGGTATATACCTAGGAGTGGAATTGCTGGATCATACAGTAGCTATGATTAACTTTTTTAAAAACTGCCAGACGACTTACAAAACCAGGTGCACCATTTTACATTCCTGCCAGCAGTTAATGAGGGTTTCAGTTTCTCCACATCTTTTCCAGCCTTTGTATTGTCTGTCTTTTGGATTACAGTCATCCTAGTGGGTATAAAGTATGATTGTGATTTATATTTTCCTAATGACTAATGATGTTCAACAGCTATTCATGTGCTTATTGGATATTTGTGTGTGTCTCTGGAGAAATGTCTATTGAAATCCTTTGCCCATTTTTTAATTGGGTTACCACTCATTAACTTTTGCCACAAAAGCTGTTTCAATTATTGTTCTGCCAAATAATCTGGTGCCCTTCTGTAAAATGCCCCTTCCTCAGCCCCACTGATGGCAGACTTGACCATGTGACTTGCTGTGGCCAATAAAATGTGAGAAGAAGGGCCAATTCCAAGCAGAAATTTTAAGAGCCAGTTTGTGGGTTCACCATGTCTCTTTTACATCTGCCAGAGATTTACTTCAGAGAAAAGTTGTTCCATCAACCTGGGTTCCAAGGTGAAAATGACATGGAATAGAACCTGATTATGTATTTGCATGATTCCCCAATGGACACATAGCATTTGTTTTCATAAGCCACTCAGATGCTTGGAACATTTGTTATTGCGCCATAAACTGGCCTGTACTACTTGTCCCATATGCTGTGTGACTAGGTCTACTATCTCTCCAGGCTCCTTGACATGGCCCACAAGGCCTGAATCAGGCCTGATAACCTCTTCAGCCTCATTTCCAGGCCATTTCCTCAACCACCCTATGTTCCAGACAAAATAAAATACATTGAGACCCTGAAATTCACTTCTTCCTCTCTTTCTATCCCTACCTGGGCCTCTGTTCAAGTTTTTCCTTATTACTGGAATAGTAATAGCTATCTTTGCCTAAGTATTTTCAATGTGCAAACTATATATAGAGAAAATCTCATTTCATCTGAAAACAACCCTGAGAATTAGGTAATTCCTACCATTTTACAAATCATCAAAGGCCCTAGATTTTACTTTTCCTGGGGCAGACAGCTAGAAGTGGGTAGAGCTAGGATTTGAAGATCTATTTTATTTTTTTATTTGCAAGAGAATGAGAGAGAGCACATGCATGAGCAGGGAGGGGCAGAGGGGGAGGATCTCAAGTGCACTCCACGCGGAGCGAGGAGCCTGATGTAGGGCTCATTGCAGGGCTCATCACCAGGCTCAATGCAAATCTTGATATCACGACCCTGAGATCATGACCTGAGCTGAAATCGAGTTGGTCCCTTAGCCAAATGAGCCACCCAGGTGCCCCAAGTAGACCTAGGATTTGAACCCAGGTCTGTTTGACTCCAAAGCCCCTCTTTGAATCATTACGCTGTAAAAATATACTAGAGGTACTTAGCTCTTATTGAGCACTAACTATGTAGCAGGTACTATGCTGAAGCACTTCACATGGACTATATTTAATCCATGTAAAGAAATTACATGAAAGAGAAGTATAAAATAGTGGTATCCTGAAGCAGATCCCTCTCCCATTTTAGGAAATTGACCTTCCCTTGCTTAAAGATCTGGAATACAACAGTTGCCCTGCAAAGAAAGGGATGCCTATTCTCTCCAAATTCACATTCTATCCACCACTCCTCATTACCTCCAAACCCACTTCTATAATCAAATCCAGAAACCCAGGACAGAATTGTAAGGTCTATTATAGGGGCAAATTAAAAAACTTATACACTCGGGGGCGGAGCAAGACGGCGGAGGAGTAGGAGACCTGGATTTCGTCTGGTCTCAGGAATTCAGCTGGATAGGGATCAAACCATTCTGAACACCTACAAACTCAACAGGAGATCGAAGAGAAGAATAGCAACAACTCTCTGAACAGAAAAGCGACCACTTACTGGAAGGTAGGACGTGCGGAGAAGTGAATCCGAGGCGATATTTGGGAGGATAAACTGTGGGGGAGGGGGCCTCCGTCGGCCACTTCTGGCAAGTGATAGAGCCGCGGAGCACAAAATCGGAACTTTTAGAAGTCAGCTCTGATGAGGGACGTCGCTCCAGTGGCTAAGCGGGGCGGTGGAACCCTCGCGGGACAGTATAGTCTTAGGACCCTCGGGGTCACAGAAAGACCGGGGGTGCCTGAGTGCGGCAGAGCTCCCAGGTGTCGGAGCAGGGAAGCCGGCTGCAGAGACGGAGCCGAGGCGCGGGCTCTCAGCTCGGGGTTGCCATAAACTGTGATCCGCGGCCCAGTCAGGCCACTGCTCCTCCAGCAGGGACCCAACAAGCGGCAGATCCAGGGAGACTCCCCTTCCTCCCCCGGAGAATGGGAGAACTCCAGCCACTAGGGGAATACTGCACATAGAATTCATGGCTTTTTTACCATGATTCATTAGTTTTTCAAAGTTAATTTTTTTAACCTTTTTTTTTTTTTAATTTTTCTTTTTCCGTTTTTCAACCAACATCTTACCAATCCCTTTTTGGAAAAAAAAATTTTTTTTATTTTTCATTTTTAGAGTCATATTCTATCCCTTCATAGTAGATACCCTTATTTTTGGCATATATATAAGTTATTCTCTCTTTGAAATTTTGAGATACAGTTTCTTCTAACAGATCAAAATATACCCTAAATCACTAGTGTACGGCTTTGTTCTAGTCTCCTGCCTGATCAC